GGAAGACTGAGATGGTTATTACAAAACTAAATTTTAATGAGTTAAGTGTAAATGAATTAGAAACATGCATCTCAGATTTCTTATTAAAATATACATGAGGTTACAGGTTATGAAGAAAAATGCTTGGCAAAGTACATATCAGGAATTGCCAATCTTAAAACATTTGAGACATTTTATCAGTTGTCCAATAGCAGATGAAAGTTGCTTTCTTCCATCCTTTGTATCACTGAGTTCATTTAAGCTTAAAGTGCCTTTCCTAGATTCATTTCTTTAGCATATTGCTTTTTTGTTATTCCCAGGCACAAACAGAACAAAGGACAAAGGTAATTTTTTTTTTTTAAGATTTTAGAGGATATGTATAATTCCGCTATCTAGTATCTTATCAGAGAAGAACTTCAATCCCAGACATACTCCTCTGTATGTTCACACAGAACATCATCGTTCCATACAAACTTACATACATACTATTCATTCGTACGTGTGACTATCTGTGAATAGCAAGAAATACCTAGGAATGACCAGACATCTGCTATATCTTAGGCTGCTCACCTAAAAAATATGCTTGACTAAAGCCACTTCTTTTCTGGATATATGTTTAAAAGACCCAATTAGGGCCTCCCCGGTGGTGCGGCGGTTGAGCGCTGGGTTGCAAAGCTGCCCGCAGCCTCTGCAGCACCGGTTGGATTCCCAGCTACCCGGGCGAGGGTCCCACATGGCGCGCAGACCTCTCCTGCCACCCGCTGCTCCCCTCAGCGGTGTACTTCATCCGTCTGCCTGTTCTGTTCCCCGCTCTGGCTCTGGTGAATCCTCTCACCCTCCTGCGCTTCTGACTGTACCCAGTGCTTGTATAAATAAATAAATAATTCTTAAAAAAAAGACCCAATTATACTTAATTTATAAAAAATGGACAAACTGAAATATTTCATACCAAAAAAACTCATTAATTCATTTTAATGATTGTGTCCAAGAAAACAGAATATACTTACTTGCACAGAAATAATTATTTTTGCTACTTTGAAGTTCAGAGTGTTAAGGACATTATCACATCATCCTTCATCATCTTTGTTATCATCAGTTGCTCTCTAATGGCCCACAGTGTGTATGATCCACTGGTCCTAAAATAGATAACTGAACACCTTAAGATCTTTGATTTCCACATGAAAGCAAAGGAAAACATTAGGTGCTTCAATGCTACTTAAGTACAATGTCAACATCATACAACTCATTTGGTTCTAAATTATTTTCATGTTTAATAAAATTTATCAAGCATATAAGGAAATAAGTTGGTACTGATGACCTGTTCTTCATCATGAATCATGATGCCCACACAAGATCAAGTCCCTTTTGTTGCTGTTCTAAACGTTTTGCCCCATCTCCTGGATAATTCACATGAAACACCTAGCTAGGGTTTTCCAGGTGCCTTATAGATGTATTATGTTATTTGATGTCTGCAACTGTTGATCTCCCTAACTGTGCTAGGAAAATGGCTGGTCTGACATTGTAATCCACGTCGTATGAATGAGGAGTTTAGTGACTGTGTGGCCTTGAGAAAGTTCCTTAAATTCTCTGATTAGGAGTGTCTTTATGAGGTTGCTTGTCCCATCACATAAAACTATTTGGGAAATAAAATAAGAAAATCCAGACTCCCTGACACATATCAACTCTTGAGAAAAACTAAGTATTAATTATATTACTGCCTGCAATCTCTTGGTCATTAATGGAAATCAGCATCAAACTCTGAGTCTTCTCATTTTTGTTCTGGTGCTCTCCAGACTCCCCACTGCCCACAAGAACATTCTAAAAATATAATTTAAAAAAATACTCTGTGTTCTCCTTCCTGTTTATTTTTCTAGTCCTATATTCTCCAACCCTTTACCCGCTGACCTTCCAGCCAAGCCACGCTGCTGGCAGACACTCTCTCCGACTTTTGCAGAGTACATACAAGTTCAGGGTTTCTTTCTGTCCAGTGAACTTGCCCCCAACCCTCTCTGGACTCAGCTTAGCTGGTAATGAATAAACCTTATGAAGCCACAAACGGATCTTCTGCCTCTGTTTCCGTAAAATTTTCTTCATCTCCACTTAGTGACTGTCATCTCATTTTTTTTTAACAGTTTGTTGTCTCTCTCCTATACAAAACTGTGTACTTCTAGAATCAGGAATTTTCCTGATTCTGTCCAATAGTCATTCTTTCCCAGTGTCAGTCTACTAATTAGTACCTGTTGCATTGATTTTAGATTCCTCTCCCCCCTCTTGTTGCCACACATGTTTGGGGTGACTTGGGAAGATCCTAGTTATAGGCCCTAAATCATATTCAATGAAATATTTAACATGGTAGATTGGTTTCCCTGGAGACTGTTTCACACTTTTCCCTAATGATGGGCAACTAGACTGGATAAGTTATAAATTTGTCCACAAACATTGTTCAATTTCCCCCCAAATCTGCTGGCTCCTCCATCTTATTTCTTGTAGTCTCCCCATTGCTGACTATGTACCAGACTCTTATAATACTCTTTTAGTCCCTAACATGCTACACTTGTTTCCTCATGGCATTGGCATGGCCATACTCTATTTAGCAGAGTTTGTCCCAGCTTTACCTGGCTACCTCCGTCTTATCCTCCAGGTCTCATTAAATATCAGCTACTTCTATGAATGTGGAAAGTCTAGTAGGTCTTTTATTACTCTTTTTAATAGCTCTCTGATTCAATTCAATTCTTTTCTTTTTTTCCTTCTTTATTTTTTGTCAATATTTGTAGGCATTTTATTTATTTGCTTTTTAAAAATTGGTTCCTCACATTAGAAGTAAGTTCCATGAGGGCATGAATCACCCACATCTATCTTGTATAATAACACATCGCAATAATTACATAAAGGGAAAAAAAGAAATAATAAGCATAGCCATTTTATAGCACTGGGGTGTGTATCAAATAAGGCTTTTTAGTAAACTGTTTCTGAACATAGAGATTTTCAAGGAGAAATAGCCAGTTAAAGTCAGATGATCCACCAGTAAACCCAAAGTCACTTGCCAGTCGTTTGCTTTGTAAACTCTTGTAGGTGCAGCACTAAGTACTCTAGAAGGGCCTGTGCATAGAACAAATGTTTTCGTTGCTCTTTGTGATTTGGTCTTTAGAAACGTTCAGCATCAGACTACTATTTCTCCCATTACTCTGACCAGTCATATGGGTCTTCATTTAATGTCTCCAAAATTCATTTCCCTTACCATGAACATTATCCCACTTTACTCACTTAAAAAAGATACACTAAGGCAATCTATCTGGTCCCTACTCTTTCTTGTCCCTCTCCTAAGCTCATCAAAAGTTTACCAGTGAATATATCTTTTAGCCTGTGTGGTTATTGCCAGGCTGCTGTTGCAACAGACCTCTGCCTCTCCACTGTTCCAGAACTCTTGTGACTTTATAAGCCAAACAAAACACACGCTTTTGCTTTGAGTATCCTAGGGTAGCCTGAGAATTATTCTGTGACACATAGTAGTAATTCTCAACAGTGAAGTGACTGCATTTCCTTCAGAGGCAATGGCCGATATTTAAAAGAACTCAAGAGGCTCAGTAACATGAAGCCAGTGCCTCAGTAGATCATAGAAAAAGAGAGAAAGAGAAAATGCTGAAGCCATCAAGTTTTCATTTTGTCCTTTAGAGAGTCTTCTACCTAAATGAGTTCCCTAATAATGGAATGCCCTGTGTAATATAAATAATATATTTTAGCTGGTCATGCTTATTTTTAAAAAATTAAGGAATTAATCTTATGAAAAAAGGTGGAATTTTACAGCTTTTCCTTCCCTGTCAAACAAGAAACTCCTTGTCCTCTTGTTTTGACTGCAGGGACATCTTGTTGCTGTGTGTAGTTGGTAAAACAGTGTTGAATATAGCGTCTTTGCAAATTCATCAACAGTATCTTAGGAGTTGGTGATTAAATATACAGCTTGCCTTTTCTCTAGTATGTCTTTATAAATACAGCTCAGCTGTATTCATCTTCCAAAATGGAAAAGGGCAAACTAGCTCTTCTCCATTTAATTTTTTCCTAAAGTTTCTGCAAGATGATGCTCATGTTACAGTTAAACATCAGCTGTACAGCTTTCTCTTTCTGTAGCTATTAGTCCCTTAAGCATAATTGCAATCAAAGAGAGGTCAGCTATATCCAAATAAAAATATGCCAGAATGTCTCTGGCATAAATCTCTCCCTAAAGATTTTGGTAGTGTTACTTAAGGAGAAGGGGGAAAAGTACTATGCTTTATCTAAAATCCTAGTCCTTAATTCATTTTTTTAAAAAGTACTGAGTTATCCTTACAGAGAGCTGTGCAAGCACAGACTCCCCTGCTACTCAACAAGTTTTTTGGGTTTTGTTTTTCTTTCACTATTCAGAAAGAATAAGAAGAGTCACCAAGAAAATCAAGCTATCTAGAAACTAAAGTGGCTGCTTTGATGAACACTTCCCCATGTTGCTATAAAATACAGAGAGTGCATAGTAATTCAGATTCTTAGTTACTACCAAGTATCCAGGCAATTTCAGAAGCAGCTGAATTACAAAACTGTGAACAAGACGGAGAGCATCACTTTCTATTTAAATGTCAGTTGTCTAAGTTTCTCAACTTCTTCACAAAGAATTAATTGTTCTCCTCTCAGTGACAGGCTTAAGGTGGAATGCCTTTGAAGGGCTTCTGCATTTTACTTGCCCTGCATATAAATCTAGGCCTGACTTAGATTGTATCTTGAAGCCAGAAACTTGGGAAATGAGTCCCAGTGGAGTCATACTGAAAGCTGATTGTCATGAGACTCTTCTTCTCTCTGGTTGTTCATATGCTGCCGAAGCTAGATGTCACTTAAAACAATTTACTGCTGAGAAGATATGTACTGAATGCCTCCTATTTGCAAATGATCATGACAATATGAATATCTTCCCTGTTACATAATGCCATTAATTTCCAAATGATCAGTTGTACAGTAATTCTCCTTCTTCTTGCTTTCACTGTTAACTAATTTTTCAGGTTGGTGGTTTGATGCTTGTGGCCCATCCAATCTGAATGGAATGTACTATACTGCGGGACAAAACCATGGAAAACTGAATGGCATAAAGTGGCATTACTTCAAAGGACCCAGTTACTCCTTACGTTCCACAACCATGATGATCCGACCTTTAGACTTTTAAAGGAACTATTATCAAAAGGAATTAGAAAAGTAACAGGAAATCTGGAGAAACTGCCATATGAGAAACTGCTTGGAAACATTTGAAGCAAATAATGTTGCCTCCCTTCCAGCAAGAAGTGTCAGTTATGTGAAGTCACCAATGTTCTTCACTGTTGATTTGTAGCCTTTTGAGTTTACTGAAGTCTCTACTTGGGGTTGCCACATTCGTATAACGTGACTACAGAGAATGTCACTCACTGTCATACTTTAAAAAGGGAAGAAACTGCTTGGCTCACTGTGCTTCAAACTACTACTGGATCTTGTATTGGAGCTGTGTAGTGAGATGATATGGTTATTTCATGTAAAACTGAAAATGACGAAGAAAAAAAAGGAAGAGGAAAAACAACTTGAGTAATAGGAACCAACCTGCCATAATCCTTTGAAAAAGATGCATCACACCCATGAAAGAGTTTCTTTCTATGCAAACCTACTAACAATAACTTTATCCTACTGCAAAATTTTAACAAAAGGTCAGGAATAACAGCATTGCCCTCTGAGTTGGTCAAATGTTAATGGATTTCAGAAGCCTAATTTTTAAATCATGCTTACAAGTTGAGTTCAGTTATCCCATCTCCAAATGTAAATTTTTGTTAAATCATAATGAATTACAGGGCATGAAGAATAATGCTGTTAGGTAGAAACATGCTCCATTATTCCAATCAAGTAAGGATACAATGAAGTAAGGACATATGAGATGAAAAATTACCCCTCACCCCAATGGTAAAGTTTTCATTTACTTTAAAAACTGACTGATATATAAATATGTATTTATACCCTGGGTAAAGTTTAAAGAATGTGAAATACATCATCAATTCCTTAAAGTAATATACATTCATGTAATATTTCCTTTGATATTATACATGAAAGCAGTATTTTAGAGTGTATTAAACTGAAGTAAAACCAAGTAAACTGGAGCAGTTCAACTACAGTATCTTCTTGCATGTGTGCATTTAAATGTAATTTCCTTATTTTTTAAATGTTTTTATATCTTCCATTCTTCACCCTATAACTTCATGCTAATTTAATTTTTGCAAATTAATTGAAACATGCTTTTCAGATTCACCCTGTTCCAGTTTCTATAACAAATATACTTTGAAGTCTGTGGCAAATAACGGAAGAATTATAAATATCATTGTTCATAGCATGTTTATATCTACCATGAACCTAATAGCTGTTTCATCTGGAATATACAATCTTGTTCTTAACTGATGCAAATAAACACAAGTTTTCAAAGAGATCTACTATACTACTTTATGAAATACATCACTTCCTCATATTTTTCCTCCCTGTGATCAGGCTCTGTTTTCAGAAACAATTTATGAGTTTTAGAAATTACTGAACAAAATTGGCATAAGGGAAACACAAACAAATTCATCATAGTCACCTGACTTAAACATATCTGGCTGCTATTAAGCACTTAATTATCCTGTGGGATAATCTGTTTTAGTTGAGTTTTTGGGCACAGACTTTTGTGGCAATTTGAAATTACTACAATTTTTTATCAGTTGTCAAATGCTTTCTGTCTGTTAGTGTTCAGGATTATAGTAGTGAACAGTTTTGTTTTCTTTGTTTTTAACTAAAACATGAGTTATTAGGAGAAGAGAAAAAAATTAAGTATATATTGGGTCTCCTTTAGAAAAATGAAAGTTCTCTTCAAGGCAGCAATACCACTTTCAGATCTGGTGACTGAATCTATTGTGTCTTTGTGACTTGCCTTCATTTGAGAGAAAAAAGCTATTCACATTTGGAAGAAAATTATTATTAAATTTACCTTCAATTCTTTATATTTATACATCTGTATACAACCCTATTTTACCTTACATGTGATTTTGCAGGTATTTTACATTTTTCTATTCTTGATCACCCCTTCGTAGCACTATGTAGTCTCTTCCTTTTAAAACTTCCTTGATTGTTTTCGTTTAAGTAAATGAAAATGAGTGCTTTGTTATTTGTGTGTTCTTTTAGATTTTTAAAATCAGTCTTTTAATAAGTAATACTATTTCCCAACTCTTATTACAAAAAGAAAATGAAATAATTGGGAAAATATGATATTTACTGTTTTGCTATCTGGGCTTGAAAAATGAAATATTTCCAATTATTTATAATGAAGCTGTATAAGATGTTTTATGACTCCATTATGTGCATTGCGTAATGCCTACAAGTTTATGGACATTTAACATGTATATCATTTGCATTTAATTATTTCAGGATAAGATAATTAGGTATTAGGATATTGTCTTTAAATTTTTATTTCAATAAAACTCATGTGGTTTCTTTTCAAATTGCTTCACATCAATCCCAGCCTTATTTGATTTAAATAAAACTGAACATTACATTATTTGTGCAACTTTTTTCTCATTTTAAATAGCTTGTTCACAAATTTAGAAATTAGTGGTTTGGGCCTCCCTGGTGGCCTGGGATTAAGTCTCAGAGCTATCACCACCACTGTGGCCTGAATTCCATCTCCACCAGGGAGCTAAAGCACATATGGTGCAGCAGACCTCTCCTGTCTCACCCTCTGCTCACCTTAGCAGTGTATTTCAGTAAATCTGCCTGTTCTGTTCCCCACTGTGTCTCTGGTGAATCCTCCCTCACTCCCCCACGCCCCGGCCGGCCTACACCCCAGTTCTTTTGCACACAAAAAAATAGAAATTAGAGGTCTATGGAAGTATGGAATCGTTGAAAAAACTAAAGCATCAATCTTTGAAAAACTTTCCATCTGTGTGTGAAAAGAAAACTTAGCTCCATTAGAATTGTAGATCAGAGCTTTAGGTCTAAGTCCCTCATTTCTACTGTATGATTGTTATGTCCTGCCAGTTATTAAGTGCTATGCTATCATATCACAATTGATAATAAATTCTGGGGATTCTGAATGTGGGATAGGAAGATTGTATTGAATATCATTGTTTGGTATGAAAGGGAGATGCTATCCCTCATTATTTCAGTCCTGTAAGAGGTCTTATCAATTCTGTCCTTATAAGGAAGTTTCTTGCCTTCACTCCTTGATTCTGCTCCCACTGTTTCCACATTGATTCAGACTTTTGTTAACTTCCATCTACAGGACTGGTAAAGTACTCTTTCTCCTGTTACTCCCTGTTCCTGTTCACCCCATAACAATTCAAGTTTATTCTTTTTTTTTAAAAAGTTTATTCTTAAAGCCAGACTTTTGATCATGATCTTCTCTGCTCAAAACCCTTCAATGGGGCCTCCCCTGGTGGCACAGTGGTTGAGCGCTGGGCTGAGAAGCTGCCCGCAGTCTCTGTAGCACTGGTTCGATCCCTGGGCACTGGCGAGGGTCCCACATGGTGTGCAGACCTCTCCTGCTGTGCCTGCTGCTCCCCTCAGCAGTGTATTTCGTCTGCCTGTTGTGTTCCCTGTTCTGTCTCTGGTGAATTCTCTCACCTCCCGTACCTCTGATCTGTACCCCGATTCTTGTATAAATAAATAAATCTTTAAAAAAGAAAACCAAAAAACCCTTCAATGTTTCTTCACTACTGCCTGATTTTGTAACAGGTATGTCAGATTAACCCCAGTCTTCATTGCCAGAGAGCTCCACTCGAGCTACTCAGTTTTCCTATCAAAATGAAGAAGGCTTTATAGAAAACTAATTGCAAAAGCCATGCCTGTCTTCCACCTTTTTCTATGCATGCCCTCACATTGTAACTTTAAAGCTAATCCTATAAAGAGATGATATCCTTTTCCTTGCCCCCTAAATAGATAGCTTGAGATTTGCTGTAGCCAATAATATCCAGAAGAAACTGTGTGCTACTTCTTAGCCTAGGTCTTAAGGGCATCACCCTACCTTTGCCAGGAGAAAAAGCCCACAGTGGCCTAATGGAGAATTGGGGGCACAGGAGGCAAGGCTGACTTTAGCAACGGAGACCAGCATAATCCAACCAGTCCCATGAAAATCCACCAGATGACCAGATAGATGAGTGATCTCAGCTAGATCAACTGAGCTTGATTCAGAAGCAGAAATGCCCAGTTAACATACATAGTCATGAAAAACATGAGAGGTTGTTATGCTACAACATTTTGGGGTGTTTTGTTAAATATTAATAGCTAAATGATACAAAATGATAACTACCCCTTAACCCGTCTCCCTATGCCCACCCACAAACACATAGGATTCCTGGACATCTTAAGGTTTTGGAACTATTCTATAAAATGATGCTCTCTTCCTTCAGATGGGCAAAAGTTTTAACAATCCTTTTAGTTCATCAAAATATTAAAAGGTGCCTTCATGGCACCTTTTCTGCTGTCCTCTATAATTGGCATTCTCTTTCTACTCACATACTCATAGCTTTTGACACATTTTGCTTGAGCTTTGCCTTGTATTTCCTCCTGGTTTGTAAGAGGCTCTCTCATTCATTTTGTATTCTCCACAGTTCTTCATAAACCCTTGTTATTTGCTGAATGGAATTCAATTTCTCTAAAAGATTAAGAAATCTCTTTACCCATATAAAATTTAACACTCATTAAATATGTAATGACTGCATTCCTAAGCCATTAATTTCTCACACTATCAAATTAGCCCATTACCTTCCAGAAAAAGTTGTCCAAATTTATTATCTTAATTATCTGAGAGATCCACTTTGTTAACAATTCTGCTGGAATATCTGTAGTGTGATATGGAGGGAGGTGTATATGCTTTTTTAATTTTAAAATTAATTGGTGAAGGAAACTCTATGGGGACTATACCTGAGGAGGCTGGGGGAAGCAAATGTTGTTTAAAAATGAACGATGGTGTAAAAAAAATAAAATATTAAGAGAATAAAATAAAATAATGTAAATATGAAAATTCAATAGTTTGAATTATGTCTAATTATTACACATCTATTATTGCTATTCTTTTTAATGTAAGATAATGATTTGAATTTATATATATTTTTATATTTGTGTGTGTGTGTGTGTGTAGTTAGCAGCGTATTGCCAGTTTTAGGATTCAAGTTTCAACTGTAAGGTTTTTTTCAAGTTGCTTGGCTCTCTTAATAAAGACAACCTCTTCTAAACTCAAGGTCAGTATTTTCTCATGTACTCCTATGATCATTGCTTTGTTAGTTACTTGCTATGTGTTAGCCATTGATATAATCATGAACATAATAAAAGGATTCCTAGGTTAATATCACATTAAGTAAATCACACTTCTGTGTTCTTTCAAAAAAGAAAGCAATACATCCATTCTAAATGACAGATGATGATTAAGATTTATAACTTTCAGACTTTGCCTTTTAATCCATGACAGACAATCTCAAAACCTAACATGTTAATTAGCTCATCAAAATACAGAAGTTTATTTGTTTTGCTTTGGTGGAGAGCAGGATGACTCCTGCTCCTTTTACAGGCAAGCGACTACTTCATCTGCTCATAAAACCAGACTGCCCCCTGCCCACCCATCCACTTTATCGTGGTCCTCAGGGGGAGTCTGTGAGCCTGTCGTGGGAGGTAGGAGGGTACCACTGACAACCACTTCTTCCACGCAATTGCTGTGATTACCTTACCTACATTCCTCTTAGTTGAGTTATTTTTTTCTTAAATGTATCTGTTTCTACCATTAGAGGAAAGGTGCAATCATAATATTCTTAATGAGATGACAGGTTTTAGCTATAATAATTTCTTTGGGCAATTATTTTATTTCATGACATAGTGTGAGTTAGTTTTCACAAACGTAGTAAGCAACCATAAGCATACAGAGGGTGTATTTAGGAAGGCAATGGGGATACAGAGGATTAAGGTATAGAGAAATTCACAATTAGAAAGACATGCAAATAGACATTAATAAAAAGTATATATTTTTTTACTTACTAGGCAATACATGGAGGTAATATAAGTAAGCTACTTAAGAATACCGACACCGAAATATTGCAGCTTACATTTCAACTTACTGTAATGTAATGTACATTATTACATTACATGATGATGTACATCATCATGATGTAACTAAAGAAAAAAATGAGTAGCTACTATTCAACAATAAATTTTGTAAATACATGTTTTTAAAATTAAAAGAAACTTGTAGGCCTCCCTCAATTTACACAATACTTTTTTATAAAACATGTCTGTTTTGAAAGTTTATTGGGAGTCTACAGAAAGACAGAAGGAGAATTGCAAAGCCATAAAGATGTCAGAAAGCCTGGAGTTATGGGGACCTCTAAATTGTTCAGTATGAATGGACTGTAAAGTTTAGTGGAGGGAGGAGTGGCAAGAGATGAGGCTGGAGATAGGACAGATAGTGAGGAACTTTAAGTCATGCTCCTTAGCTTGGGCTTTGTTTCCTAAAGAGAAAGAGTAAAGGATTTTACTTTAAAAAACTATAATTACTGTCATTAGTACATGTATTTGAAGGGGTAAACCCAGCAAAGTTTGGATTAGTGAGACACTATTACATAAGACGAATAGAATGAGGACAGTAGGGATGGACTGGAAAAGTTGGCTTTTAAGAGATATTAGGGACAAAGAATTCAAAGAACTTAATGATTTTATGGAAGGTGGGAAAAGAGCAAGACCATTGCAGATTTTGTCTTGGTTATTTAGTTAAGTGTTTCAAATGACCAAAATAAGGTGCATAGGTTTGGGGGAGTTATTAATCAGTTTGGTTTTACATGTTCAGTTTGAGATGCTAGAGATTCAGTTTTGGCAGTTGGCTATGTGGGTCTGGGCTCAAGCAGTACTAAAGTGGAAAATTTGAGATTATATAATAGTTAGGTGGACATTAAAATTACTAGATAGATTATTTCAAGAGGATATAAAGTGAAACAGAGCTCAGTGGAAACTCTAATGGAACATAAAATTTAAGGTAAACAAGGGGAATTCCAAAAGATGAGGAGAAATTATGGCTACATAAACAAGAGGAAAGCCAGGAAGAATTGAAGTCATGCAAATCAGGTGAGTAAATTGTATCAAGAATCAGGGGTTTCTAACTTACCATAGAGTGAGGGGGGCATTATGATTGTAATATTCACTGAATTTGGCATTCAAGGAAAAATTGTGATTTTTTTCAAGGGCAGCATTAAAGACATAGGAGTAGAAGCTAGTTGACAAGAGGATTATGAATAAATGGAAGAATTAGAGGATATGAGGGTATTAGAGTTTAGACTTGTTTTCTAGAATGACTTGAATATTTCCTTAAAAGTTGGTGATTTGTAGAGTCTTCATTTTAACAAGATCCTTAAGTGACTCTTGTAAGGGACATTACATTTTGAAAAATTGATCTAGATTATACATCCATGAAGACAAGTGAGCATAGAAGAGGGGAGGAAGGTAACTAGAGGAACACACAAAGACGGCTTCTAGAGTAAGAGGGACATGAGTGTATTTATCTGAAGAATAAGAAAAATGGGTCTTTGAAGGACTGAGGCTAAAAAAAGGAACGGAAAGGACCTTGATGGAGCAAATATTTTGAGATGCCTACAAACGTAGGATTAAGAGTAGAGAGAATGAGAGACTTAATTCGAATAAGAGAAGAAACACCCCTTCCTCTAAAAGAAGAAATTAGGGGGAATAAAATGCCATAGGAGAAATAGCCATCTAATGGCCTCGATTTTATAGAGGAAGAGGAAGAGAAACTTTATGAGAGTGTAGGCAGTTCAATTAAATGGTGTTTGAAATAGTTTTGGAAGAGCCACTTAAAGTAATGGGAGCGCCTTACTCTCCAGAGGAGTTACAATTTAACATGTGCTATTTAGGGTTTGAGACTGGAAATCATGAATAATATCAGACTAATACACTTTTCTCAGTTGTTTTCATGTGTGAAAATGATGACATGAATAGCACTACCTAGTTCAAAATCATTATTCTGCCATACCTAGCTCACTTTACATAAATGCCTAGGTCAGCCAACAGCATCAGTGCCTGTGAATGTTCACACCGAGAAAAAATTGCCTCCTCTTTGAAGTGCACCCAAGTCCCCCTAAACTCAATTACTCACCCTTCTTTTGTGTTCCCTTGACATTTTTACTTCTACTTACAGGATTTCCACAGTTTGACTTGTTTTCTAATCAACTGTTAACATACTTGTTCTGTCTCCAAATAATGAGCATTTGGGATGAGAGATCAAATTTAACTGGCTTTGTGTTATTATAACCTAATATTGAGCATAGAACACTTTTGAATCTCAATTAAGTGTCAAGTGATTTGCACCATTTTTTTATGTTCCAGGCTATACATTCCTTGAGTACGTGCTTTGTGCTTATTCTACTTCGTGTCTCTAGAAGCAAGAATAATACTGAGACAGTTGAGGTGCTAAGTCAAAGTCGGTTGGTTAGGTTGGCAGGTGGGTGGGTGGATGGATGGATGGATGGATGGACACCTGTCACATCAATGGAAACAGTGTGAACTCAAAATGATCTACTTTTTTTTTCCCTGAGAATTTATTATTATTATTTAAAGATTTATTTTTATACAAGAACCGGGGTACAGGACAGATGTGCGGGAGGGTGAGGATTCACTGGAGACAGAGCAGGGAAAAGAACAGGCAGACTGAAGAAATACAATGCTGAGGGGAGCAGCAGGTGAGACAGGAGAGGTCTGCTGCGCCATGTGGGATTCTCACTGGCCAGCCAGGGTGGAACCTGCGCTGCAGAAGCTGCAGACAACTTCACAGTGTGGCACTCAACCACCTGCGCCACCAGGGAGGCTCCTGAGAATTTATTTTGTAAGAAAACTGCCTTCCTGTTTGCCACAGAAAAAAAAATTACAAAAACATTTTTTCCAAACATCAAAGAGCTCATGTAAAAAGAATATCAGCTTATTTATGTATTAATGAAAATCATGTGGATTATATTGCTCTAATATTAAATTTTTTTGTTTAAAGTATAAGGAAAAAACAGAAATAAACTCTGGGTCCTAATATAACAAACCATTTGATTATATTTGAGCTGCCTGTATCCAAACTAGTGATGAACAGTAAGGCTAGGAGTCAGCAGCAATCCGCAGGCGCCCACCCTGGGTGGGGAAAGCAGGAAAAATGGTAACATTCCTTGAGGCTGCAGAGCAGGGAGGATGGGTGGAGAGTGGGGGAATTTTCATTGTTGTATATAAAGACAAAAGCTTCCACTATAGTCTTTCTTGGACTATTAACTTCAATATTTTTGTTTTTGTGAGACTAGGTTAAGAATCTGCCTACTGTTTTGAGCCTCAAATTTCTGAGAAGTCTCATAGCAGACATTATTGGCTCCCCTCGGCATTTATTTCTATGTAGGAAAGCTGTTTTCTGGGAAAACTTGCTATTCTATATGAAGAGTTGTGGTGGTTGATGTGGTTGTTTTTTGGCCCAGGGAGCACACCCAGCTCTTGCACAAGGAATGAGCTAGAAGTGTTGGATAGGTAATGCCCTCAAGCCAAAAGCCTTCAGCAGGTGATAGATATGTGTGGATAAGTACCTTTGCTTCCTTCCCCCTTGATCAGATAACTCTGGGGTGTAGTCTACATGGTCTTCCGGATTTCCCAGCAGAAATGAGCTCTAATTGCTGGCGTAGGTAACTAACTTGATAGTGTACTGTATATTGTCTTATTTCCTCACATGTCTTATCTGCGATCTTTTACCACAGTTTCCTGGAATTATTTCTGAAATAAACTATTTGTCCTTAAATCCTTTCCCATGCTCTACTTCTGTTTCAATCCAAACCAAGAGAAGTCTACAAGGTAAATTCTTGAGAAATAGAGATGCCTCCAATCAGATAAAGGCTAGATGACTGAAGCAGTCACAGAGGAGACTGTGATGACAGGAGTCGATGGTGGTCTCTCAAAGCAGTCATCTAAATACCAGTGGTGAATTCTATTTTTATT